TTAATTTGGTATAAATATCTCATTTTTGAATCTGAGGGTCGAAACCCACTTTTTCCTAGAACAGCCCCCATATATACCTTTCCTAAAAAAATGATTCCGTCATATTATTAATTTTGAAAACCAATTATTAAATAAAAACGCGATTAGTTACCCATTTCACGAAGATAATCCGTTATTGCTTTATCAAAAGTAATTCCAGGTGGTAATTTGGGTTTTTGGCTTTCTGGAATATTTTCTAAATGGAGTTTGAAATCTTCCACCAGTCTTGGTAAAAGTTTATATGTATGTCTTTTTCTTCTCCTAGGCTCAGACCTTAATGCATCAGCTCCCCAAGAGACAACTTCTTTATAGTCTTCGTCGTATTGTAATACTGTATTGGGTTTATAAGGACTTTTGAAATGGCCCCATTCTTGATTCACTACAATTTCTATCTTCTCTTTCTCTGGTTTAATGTAAGCATAAGAAAACGTCTGATAAAGGAAGGAGACAAGGTATTGGTTATAGAAAGGTAAAAAATAAAAATAGCACGTAGTGATTAAGTTACCGAAAATTTTGTGCCGAATTCTGAATTTAAAGTATAAAAAAGACAATGTTTCGTCAGAAAAAATTTTATGTAAGAGATCCTTTAGGTTTATATGCTCACCTACTCCAACAACTATAAGTATTTTCTCCTCTTTAGCAAGTTCAAAATCAATACAGTCATGTAATACCATAATGATAAAATGTCAAAAATTACAAATTTGATACAATCATTACTAAATTAATGAGCATCATTTGCCTCACAAATAATCCTATTAGAAGTCATTAGTAACCTTTATTGTTATTATGTGCGATCTACTTTTTTATTGAATATTAATTGACGATCCGCGAATAAATCGGAGAGTCTTACATAGTGATCAGCGGAGGAAAATTGACACAAAAAAAATGACCACCTTTGCATGAAAAATTGTACTATACTTTTGTTCCACTACATAAATTTTTTTTTAGCGTGCAGATAAAACATAACTCAGAAAACATATTAATATATTTTATTTTACCTTTACTTAAGCAAAGAAAAAAGTTTACTCTTTAGCACTCGTGGATTGTTGGAAATTTTTATATAGAAAATTTTGTTTTTTATGTGTAATGTTCGTTTTTAACAAGAGAAAATAGTAATAGTAATAGTAATAGTAATAGTTTTATTATTATTGAATCTTAATTGCATTTACAATAATAAAAAATTCTTTTTTTTCTATATACAGTTCACTCTATAACAGACCATTTGACTTAGTATTAGTATTAGTATTAATATAACTAGGAAAAAATGTTTATTATAGATAATCCGTTATCAGCAATAATAATTTATATATTAATATATTAATATTTGACATATAGGTCGGGCTTAATATTAATATCAATATTCTCAGTATGTTACAGAGGATCCATTATTATTAGAGAGTGTGAGTGGACTCTATAATAAATATTCTTAAAGGTAAAGGTTTAATGAATTCAAAAGTCATGGATTATCAATTAAATTTATTGTTAAAAACATTATACATGTGAAGTTAATATTAATATTATTTTTTTTTACATTAATTATCCATATTAGTATTCTTAACTACTTGTTTTTTATGATTTTGATTAAATCTAAATATCCATTATTTGATTTGTTGGAGAGAAGGGATTTTTCAATTATGTTTAAATCATGCCTTTTTACCACCACTTTTTTCCCAAATTTTTGTTTACTTTTTAAAGCAAATCGTGGTATGAATTTTTCATACAATAAATTTAAGTCATTATCATCTATTGACAATGATATCTATTGGTTCAAAATTAGTAATGGGTTTGATAACGATTATAAAAGTTTTATTGTTATTGTGTAACGGACATTTATTTTTTGAAAATTTTATATAAATTTCTGATTTATAGACGGATCGTCAATTAAATATTGTAAAGAAATTTTCCAGGGTCAAAATTTTTCATGACTATTTTGAAACTTATTGTTAATCTTTTTATTTTTGGTTGAAACCATATTTGCATAAACTTATTATTATAATAATCAAAATGTTCATGATCTGGCCCTTCAAATCCTAGTAACATCAATATCATTCGTCGATTTATTAATTTATTATATGAATTTGTCTTGATAGGAAAAACTGCTATGTTTGACAATGGAATTGAATAAAATTATATAAGAATATGTTTTAATAAAATATCTATTGTGTTGTTTTGTAAATTAGTATCAACAATATGCTTTCTCTTAATTCATCACCGTTTATAATTACATGAAAGTATCATCAGAATTTCAGCAAATACATTAATTTAATTATCATAAATTAATCATATCATTTGAATTTTGACTTGAAATGATGACGATATTTCATTACATTGGATGCCCTCTTTCATCTCTTGAAACAACATTTTATTATTACAATCTGATGAAAAATTATTAGACCTATTAATTACCATTAATTAAAATTTTTAATGGTTTTAAGCATTTGTAACTTACATTTGATCTAAAGACTTTTTGATATTATCACACTACGTAACAAATAACAACTTGGTTTTTATCCGTAAAGATTACTTTCAAATTTTTATCAACTTTATCAGCTTCACAAAGATTAAATCCAATTATTGGAAATGCACAAATATCAACATATAAATCTTCAAGATCATGTCCATCCCAAGATGCATTCATCATAATAGTATTGATGCTTGTTTTATATTCAAAAATTTTCCAATTGGCAACACTTTTAATCCGAAAAAAATATACAAACTTGCCTAACAATCTCATCGATCATGCTTTCAATTTCTGACAAACTTGTTTGGATTTGTAATTGTACGATAACAATTCATTAAATCTAAAATGTCTTTTTGTAGTGTTGTTATCAATGGATGTTTTTTGTCTTTGCCTACGACAATATTGGAAAATCCGCGATTTCCAAGAACACCATAAATTTGTTGACGTAATTTCGTTGAAGTAGCTTTGCTAGCTTATCATTTCAGACACAATTAAACGTGTCAATCTCAATAGTTGTTTTGTTGTCTCAACTATTTTCACTTCTAGACTTTCCGAACTTTGTTGCTGTTTTTCGTAACATCATTATCATTTTCAATGATGGAATCGATCACGTGACGTTCCAATGCGCTAGAAATGTTTTTACTATTATGTATTTTATTGATAAATTTTCTCAATAGTTCTTTTACTTCCAACTCATTAATGTTAATTCTTTTTTCAGTCCACAAAATTTATCTAAATTTTGATGTAAATTGCGAATGTCTTTTGATAATTGACCAAGACTATTGGAATCTTGAATTCCTAATTGAAAACTTGTTGCTGATTGATATTTGATAGCTTCTTTCTTTAAATTAACATTATCTTTATCAAATCATTAATATTTTTATCTTTTGAAATTAATAATTCCTCTAATTCTTGACAAGTTGCTTGAAGATTTTGATAGTTGTTTTCGAGCATTTTATTTCGTGATTGAAGTTTACTACTACCATAACTTAAAAAGTTCCTTTCATATACTTGATTTTGTATTTTTACTTTTTTCCAATTCATTGATTTTATTTATTTTTTACTTCTAATTTATTATTTTTACTTTCCAACTCAACCTTTTTCCTTTCCAATTCCAATTCATTGTTACTACCCTCCGATTCATCCTTTTTCTTTTCATTGTTATCACTTTCCAATTAATTGTTATTATTTTCCAACTGATGTTGGTATTGGCATTGATTCATCACCATCTCTACACCTTCCATCCCCATTTTTTCTTCTATTTTTTTATTTTCCATGTGTTTTTTTTAAAATATTAAAAGCATTTTTATTAATTATATAATACTCTCCAACATCAAGATAGTCTGTTGGTTTTGTGACCACAAATTGTTGTAATAATTGTTGTCGTATAAATAGTTGCTGAATGTCTGAGAGAATTAGGAGATGTTGCTCTGTATGTTGTTGATGATACTGTAAAAAATGCTGTTTATATTGTGCGAAAAGTAGTTGATATTCTGTGGGTTGTTTCAGATATTGTAAAAACTGATATGCCAATGTCGTTGATTTAAGTGCGTGAATATATCATAAACAATTGTATTGTCCTCTGGAGTGTATACCATTTTAAATTTAAAGAGAATAAATAATACATTACAATAATATGCCGTTCAAAAAAAACCAGAAAACCAAACCGAACCGTTGAACCTGTTTTAATCATGTGATCTAAATGTGCAAAGAGAATTTATGCATCTAAAATATACTAGAGTACTTAAAATATTTATTGCTTTTGGCATGATTGAAAGGTGCATAAAACATACAACCAACTCACTAATTCCAATCCTTGCTTGGCACCAGCATTTAATCATCAATGATAAATTATGTATGCAAATTCCCTTCTACACACTATTATCACTGGTTTGTTTTCAGCTGTAAGTGCAATAACTTTGTTTAAAATATTAAACCTTCTGCCTTTGATACCTTAAATTTGATATTTCTGCTGCTTTCTTAATGTGGAGATTATTATCAGTAGCTGAAATGATTAAAGTAAATTCCTGGTATTATTTTTTTACCCTTGAATTTCCATATAACAAATAACACTAATCAGATTTTCTTTTTTTTTATAAGACTAACAAAACAGGTAAAATATGATCAATAGATAGTAATAGCAACTGAATCAACTGCTAACAATTATTTATATATTTATTTTAAATACAAAGATAATAAGACTACACATGCAAATTTTAATACAGCAATATTAATTATTTTTATCACCAAATATAACATTATGTTTCAGACATGGAATGATATAATTGTCTAATATTTTTTTTAAATGTAGTGCGATAAACTTTACCAGTAGTTCTATTCTTTGCTGTTGCAACAATTTCCATAGATCCAAAATGTAATGTTACTTGTACAGAACGATTGAGCCCCAAATGAGTGTCAGGCATATCAACATCAAAACTACCCAATTCTTTCACCTCAGGTTCATCACAATATGTTGCATCATATTTGGTGGTATAAAAAAAGTGAAGTGTTCCACTGGTTTGATTGGGGTTAATAGGGCCCAAATAACTGGAAAATTCTTTGTTAACATTCACCTCTGTTCCTTTCCTGGCCATCAAACTAAACTTGTAGATTCGGCCATTTATTGTTTTACGAGATAGTGGATCACCAGTTTGCTAATGTTAAAAAAGTTAGTTTTGTTATTTGGATAATATAATATTGATAATATATTACTGTTTAGTTTTGGTTGATGATGCTTACCCATTTATCACTAATTTTAATTCCATATGACCATAATAATACTCTTGTTCTTACAATCTTCCTATCAAGTCCATATTCACATGCACCCTTTACTATTGCAGTAATTGGATTGGGTGGAACTATAATAAACAAAATATTTATTAACTGATTGCTTTAATTTTTCTTTTTTCTTTAAAAAAAAGGGTCAGCCAACCAACATACTTGCTATTTTCAATTTATCTTCAAATTTTTGTTTAATTCTAGATTGAAGATATTTTGATTCACTAAATCCTCCAACCAAAAACATCACTGAACAGTCTGAACATTTTGATAACTGTTTCTCAATCAACTTCAAAATTTTGTTGATTACTGGATCAAAAAATGATTTCACAGTATCAAAATCAAGATCAATGACCCATTCATCCTCATCTGATAATTGATCTCTTTCTGACCCAGTGACATATTGCTTAAGTGCTGGACATTTTTTCTCAATGTCCAATTCAATGGTTTTGAATTGGGATTTTTCACCAGTGAATGGAATTTTAATATCAGGACAAAAATATTTATGTATTAAATAATTAACCTGACCGTAGTATTTCTCCTTTAACATGTTCATTGCAGATTTACCTACTCTACTTTCAAGAAATTTTAAAAACTCATCATCAACATAGGTACCTCCACAAAAATCTCCTGAACGTTCAGTCATTTCTGCTATTTGTTCATTTGGTAATAATTTTCTAACTGTTAAGTCCACAGTTCCTCCACCACAATCAACAACCAAGTATGTTACTAAGTTAAATCATACAGTGAAAATGCTATTTAGTAAATTATAAGGTAAATAAAGTGAGCCAAAAAGCATTATTATATATACCTTCTGTTACTAATTTGAGATCTTTTAATGTATTTATACAATGAATTGCAGCAGCTTCCGCTAAAATTTATATCAAGTATATTAGATGAAAATCAATCATGTCATAATGGCTTAAAAATGCTTTCTTACGTTCAGTGGTAAATTGAAGATTTAGTGTGCCAATAGATTTAATCAGGCCAGCATTGTATATACATTTTCTCATAATTGTCTTGGTATCTTCAATGAATTCTAAAATGATGATTTTTAAAATAGTTAGTATATTGTGTATATAAATGTGTGTGAGTTTATAAATATAATAGCTAGTTACCGGCAGGTACTGTGAAAACAAGTCGCACTTGATTGTAAAAATCAATTCCATACCAGTGTTTTTTTACGTTCTCTTTGATTGTCTATCATATCATAAAAAATTCAATATAAACTAAATTATAATTATGTAGCAAAAAAGCAGACATTGTTAAAATTTTAACAATGCCTGCTTTTCTGCTTCATATAAACTGGAAATACAAAATATTTTTATTATCATACCTTTCCTAAAAAAAAAAGATTTCGTAATTAATTTTGAAAACAATTTTTTATGAAATAGTAAGACGTGATTGGTTACCCATTTCACGAAGATAATCCGTTATTGCTTTATCAAAAGTAATTCCAGGAGGTAATTTGGGTTTTTTGCTTTCTGGAACATTTCCTAAATAAAATTTGAAATATTCCACTGGTCTTGGTAAAGGTTTATTGGCAAGTCTTCTTCTTCTACTAGGCTCAGAGCTTAATGCATCAGCTCCCCAAGTGACAACTTCTTCATAGCTTTCGTCGTATTGTAATACTGTATTGGTTTTATTAGGACTTTTGAAATGGCCCCATTCTTGATTCACTACAATTTCTATCTTCTCTTTCTCTGGTTTAATGTAAGCGTAAGAAAACCCCTAATAAAGGAAAGAAGCAAAGTATTAGTTAATTAAAGGCGAAAGATAAAAAAATAAAAATAGCATATAACAATTGAGAATAAGTTTACCGAAAATGTAGTGCCAAAATCTGAATTTAAAGTACCATAAAAAAAAGACAACATCTCATTAGAAAAAATTTTCTGTAAGGGATATTTTAGGTTTATATGCTCACCTACTCCAATAACTAAACGTATATCCTCGTTTTCAGGTTCGAATTCAATACAGTCATGCAATTCCATAATAATGAAATATAATTTTTTAATCAAAAATTACAAAAATACATAAACAGTATATATAACAGTATATTAATATAAAACAATCATTACTAAATTAATAAGTACCATTCATTCTTTGAACATTAATGTTAATATTAATATTTTTGTCATTCGGAATTTCTCCTCAACATCCAAATTCAGACTTATTAAACAATAATAACGATAAAAAAACAACTTTTTATTTGTTACATAGATGATTATGGCAAATTTTTTAAAAATTTCTCACCCTTTATTACTTATTATTTCAGAATCTCCAGATAATAATGGCTATTGATGAAACGGAAGTTATAAATGCTTAACGCCATTCAAAATTTTAATTGATGTAATTAGTACAAGTATTAATGATAATTAATATTTTTTATAGGTTTAATAATAACATTGTGAGATTAAATACCATCATCATTTTCAAATCGAGTTAATAAAAAAACCAATGTTCCGCAAAATACATAATAAAATTAATGTATTTGATGAAATAACGGTAAACCTAAATGCCTTCATGCAATTATAAATGGTGATGAATTAAGAGAAGAATTATATAGTTATAAGCATATTGTTGATGCTAATTACAAAAAAAAAATCTATAGATATTTATTAAAATATAATTTATTCAATTACATTGTCAATAAATTAATAAATCGACAAACGATGTTAGTGTTACTAGGAGACCATGAACATTTTGATTATAATAAAGCTATGCAAATATGGTTTCAATCAAAAAGATAGTGTGTGATTGCGTCAAAGTCGCAAATAATAATTATGCTTACTCTCGCTATAATTCGTATAGCCAAAACGATATTTTGCTAAACGATAAGCCATTGAAAGATTGGAAGCTTGCAGTTCATCAATACCAAGTTTCAATCCAAAAATTAATCACGTGATTAATCAAGGATGGGACCTTGGCCTATTGTATACATGACTGGAATTAGCAATTAATGCCAGTTCATTGGCCAAAATTCTCTAATTCCGCATTAATCTATTTTTATATATTTCATATAGAATTATAATTTATTTATATATTTCATATAGAATTATAATTTATTTATAGAAATTAACGCAGATTTTGCATTTAGAGCAATTTCATACTTGAAAAGTTATTTCAGGTTTAAATCACTGAATCGCAATCACAAGAAGTTGGGGCTGGTCTAGAGATGTGCCACGCACAGCGTGTGACGCACAGTGCGTGAGAATTTTTGAGTGCGCAGTGCGCGCATAGTTCTCATGTTGTACTAGATAGCATGCATCTACAAGTTTTTCCGTATTAATACATTTGCAAAAGGTTTACAATAATTGCCAATTCAGACAAATTGTTAGGACGAAGTATTTTTAGTTAAGT